GTGGTGGTAGTGATGGTGGTAGTGGTAGTGGTAGTGGTGGTAGTGGTGGTGGTAGTGGTGACGGTGATGATTATGGTGGTGGTGGCTGAGGTGGCCGTGGAGCAGGAGGATGAGGAGGAGAATGAGAGATAAGGATGAGAATGAGGAAGGGAAGGAAGAGGAGGAGAAGAAGGAGGAGGAGAAGGAGATGGAGGATGTGAGGAGGGGGATGAGGAGGATATGAGGAGGAGGTGGAGGAACGACAAGAGGAAGAGGGCGACAGGAAGCCTTAGCTGGTAGTCTGCACATCAGGCGGCGAGTAGCGCGTATAGAGCGAGCCACGCTAAAAGCCTTCGCCCGATGTCAAAGCTACAGGCTGCGATCGTTAAAAATAGAGAAGCCCTTCGCTTGTCTCCTCCTCCTTTCTCTCAGTCCCTCGGGCTCGTTCTCCGGCGGCCGAGAGACGACCGGTAGCCGCGGCAAGCTTCAAATCCTGTCTTGGCAATCGCCGTGAGAAAGCCTGTGTTTTGCCGGAGCAACAGTCTCGGCTTTCCCCGATTGCGCTAATGCTTCAAAGCGACGAGCCGCTTAATTAAGCTCTTTTGCAGCCCTGCCTCCGTTTTCTCGACGACAGCGTTTAATGTTGTCATAATACGCCACGGGCCTTTCTACAGCAGGCATCAACAAATCGATATCCTCGGTTCGTATAATATGCACTTGCGTTGTCAGCGATCAACACTTGCATGGATTTTATGATGTTTGGCACGATGAAGGAAGCGAATCAGGCATTGGGGGAGCATATAATATTATTGTCATTATCAGCATAATTTCCTTATTATTCTTTGAAAAATATTAAATAACACGAAATAGCGTTCACAATTATGATGAGTATCAGATTCTATAAGATTACTTGTATTCGATGTATTCGAATATTGATTTCAAATTGAAATCACTATTATTATTGTTATTATTATTATTATTATTATTATTATTATTATTATTATTATTATTGTTGTTGTTGTTATTGTTATTGATTGCCATTTGCATTGCATTAATTTCAATTACAGAAAAATAAGAAAATAAGAAATTAAACTCACTTCCTAAGTGTTTTAATTTAAATATTCTACGTGTAAAGAAGTTATGAGAATTGAGAAAAAATTTTATTAATTTTGATACATAATCCACTATGTTTCTGTATGATATCTTAGAAAAACCATTTATAAAATGAAGATCCATTTATAACATGAAGTTAACTAATGTAAAATGACTAAAAATAATTTTTTTTAATACAATAAATAATAATAATGTGATTTTTGATAAAAATAAATACTGTATATGATTAATAATGATACAATCATATATTCATAAATTCAAATTTGAAGAAATATAATTTAGCATGAAATTAGAAACCTCAATACATTTTCGCACTATAAAATAATTTTATCAGTTGGTTAATATTTCAAATGAAATTTTAATTTTTTTTATTTTTTTTTTATTTTTATTTTTATGTTCTAGGCTACAAAGTTATTAATTAAAAAAAGAAATGTTGAAATGAATTATATTTAAGTAGATCAAAATTTTGAGAATCAAAAATATTATGATAATGAAAATAAAAATGAAACTATTAAACATTATCCATGATTTTTCATATATCTATGCGAATCTATAAAAATCCATTTTGGTTTATACGAATTTTTAAAAAAAATCTTACTATTAATAATAAATGATCTTCGTATATTTCAAAGTTCAAAAAATATTTTGATCGCCGTGCACTAATAAAAAGAAATCTTGAGTTTCAATTTATTATATTCAATCCATTTTATTTTATTAATTCTTATATTGTATATTGTGTTTTTTTTTTAAATATGTATGCAGGGTTCAAAAATATTTTTATATAAATATTACGAATTTTTAGTTTATTCTCTATAGATCATATATAGTATTGTTATATTGTATGAAAATTGATTAATATTATAGTTATATATAATTCAATAAAAGTAATTATGTAAATCCCTGAAGATATGTATATTTCACGTGCATTCATACAATAATAAACGAAATTTATACTCAACGTTTTACGTATTTTTTTTCGAGTAAATTGCAAGGTTTCATAAATCTTTTTAAAATCAAAACAAAAATTATGCCCGCTAAAAGTCTTACTACGTTTCAGTTGTAACGAAAACGATTTTTTTTTTTTTTTTTTTTTTTTTTTTTTTTTTACGAATAAGAATACATGGAGAATAAGAAATATATGAACAGGTAATTTTAAACAACTGATCACGCAATGGTTATTTTCCCTTTTAGTATGATTTCAGATTCCTCGGTACTTCTCTATCCGCAAATATGATTACGAATATCAATGAAAATAAATAGTATATGGATAAAATAAGAATTATTTTTTAGAATAAAATACCTTTCAGCTTAAACTTTTATGTTTTCACATATTAAGTACAACAGTATACTATTGATCTAGTATTTAAAAATATAAAATGTGTAAACGACGTGAGTATATTATTTTTAATATGTAAATGTAAAAATATATTAATATGACAATTGATTAATATAACACAGTTTTGGAATACTATTGTTAGAAAAATTGGTAAACTAGTTAATGCATTTATTAAGTTTTTTTTACTTTTAATAATAATTTGTTAAAGCGACATTTTAATTAGATTTATTAAAATATATGCTTCAAACTTTTATTTATAAATAACTTGGGTATGGTTATAACTTTCAATATAATAACGAATCATTTTTATTCACATAGTAAATAATATATTTATTAAAGCCCATCAATTGTTTAAGAATAATCTTTTTTATTTGTTACATGTATGCATTTTTGTTGCTTAATTTTTTTCACATACTACATGTATATAGAATACTTTTAAATTTAAGTATATTGCATTATAGCGAACATAACGTCACTTATATTATTATAATATTATAATATGAAAATTATTATCGTTAATTCAAAATAAATAAGATTCTATCAAACACATTTATAATGATGAATAATAATGATAAGAATCCTTTTCCTGGACTCCTCGAATACCTAACATTAAAGATACCGCCACTAAATAGCTTGTATAGAAAATAAACAAAGTACATGGTAAACGTCAGATAGTTAACTATATCAGAAATATATACAATATCAAATAATAAAGTTTTCGAACATAACTGAAATCAAGGCTATTGTATAAATTAAAATTAATCTATCTAAGCTTCAATTTGAATCTACTGCATTACGACATCGATTGGGAATTTCCCCATTAATCCACGTCAATGTACGAAACCACGAGCATCGTCGGAAAAGTCGTTTACGATAGCCCTATGGTTCCCAAGCAAAGTTTATAGCCGCAGCTTTTCTCGCAAAAAAGAAGAAACAGCAACGAAAGGCCAAGTCTCCGATGCGCTCGAACGGCATCCTTATCATTATCACAATGGGCATGAGCAGTTCGCTACGAGAGTGAGAGAAAGAATGAAGGGAGGGGTGGGGGCAGGAAAGTCCTGAGTACTCGTTCTTCTGCAGCGCTCATCAGGGGGTCAACGAGTTCCCGATGATAGGCGTGTATTTGCCTTAGGGGATTCCAGGGGCTGCTGACTACGTCGACTTACCTGGAAGCGACGATCAAACGATTCTCGAATCGCGGCCGCCGAAGTGTTTAATCATCGCGACGCGTGTCGCCCACGTAATTTCGCGAGGCCTACGTAATCGCGCGTGAAATTTCTATCGTCAGTCGTATCTCATAATGTTGGTTGCTCCTAGAGGCCAAATGCCGCCCTTTTCGATCCATGCAAAGGCTCGTTCGGGATGTTCATTTTTCCTTTCTGTTCTGAGAAATCATTATTTATTGCCAGATGAAAGTCCATTTTTCATAGCTACGATTGCTTTCGACGGGGCAAATATTTTTCGTTGAATCTAGCTGTGAGATTATTAGGTGCTTTTTTCGCCAGTTAACAGTGTCCTTATAATTTATTTAATCTTTCAAATAAATGCTGCGATAAAAATACGAACCTTTATTTTAAGAAACAATTTTTCATTCTCATAGGACTAATAAGTTAGATCAAATTTCTGCTTATAATTAGTATCTCTTTCAAAGGATATTTAAGAATTCTCCCGCATATCCGTTTATTTAATTTTCATTAATGATTTTTATAATACTTATGGTGAATAATATTTGGACTATTGCTGTACACTTTTTCTCAATCAAACATCAACGTTAATTAATCAATATTTATAAATTAATTGATATTCCCAAGTAAAGTGTAAAAAAATGTTTAAAAATGATTTGGTTTCAAATCAAATTTCTTGTTAAAAATCTTCCAATAATTATTTTTATTTGAATACGAAAATGCATCTCGAGGAACTTCAATAATAAGTTATTAAATAAAATAATTATCGCCTATGTATGAGTGTTTAAAATTCTTATAGACACATAAAGTTCTATCTACGCTTGAAACATTTTATAATCACAATAATCCATTTATGCCGTAGATTTTAGATAAACTCGTAATAGCTATTCCCGTTATATGATTTGATGCGACACGTATAGGAAGAATACTCACAATCACGTACTTATATTCCATGTTTGCTCTTTAAATTAAAACTTTCGACTTACATTTTTATTCTTGATACATATATACAGTACATGTACGTAAATTTGTTATAATATGTGATTCTGAAATTGCAAAGTTTTTGAAATAGACAAGATTATGTAAAATAAATGTAAAAATATTGAGTTGTAAATTATCGAATTTTGAAGCTCATGTACTTTGGAAAACCAATGACTACGAGAAATAAATTTACTACTTTAACACAGGAATATATTTTTCTAAAAGCTCCTTTTTTCGCCACGGGGAGTCTAAAGAAAGAGATTTATAAGCGCATAGTATATAGTAAAGCTTTCTCTTACTTATCCACTATTATTTTTATAAAATATTTAATCGAAGCTCATCGATAAGCAAATAAAAAAAAATTGACGATGATAAGTATACGTAACGTTTAGCTACATTCTAATTCCGTATTGACGTCACTGCCTTACGCTATTTAGCACTAAATGATATCATTGCGATACAATTTCTTAAAATCGAAGGCATTTAAAAATACATAATTTTATGATAAATACATGAAAGTTAGTAAAAGAGATAAAGGACATATTTATAATTCAAGAATTGTAATTTGAATATCAATCGATAATGAATCGATAAATTTTTATTTGTGATAAACACATGTGTCCTAAATTTTAACAGATAAAACCTTATTTGGTGCTTCGAAATAGCATTTTGTAAAAGAAGATAAATTTGACAAGTTCAATTTTAATATATTACGATGCCAAGTGAGCCGCAATCTCAGTAATAAATCATCCAACGCAGTTATTATATAAAATTTAATGTTTTGGTAATGATTTTAGGACAAGTTAAAGGACACATATTTTAAATAGATGCTGCAATGTGCAAGCATTGATTACCGAAGAAAACTTCCCGGAAAGTCTGTTGCACTTCTGGCGCGTGCACTTCAACGCGTCGGTGACGTATCCCATGCATACGCAGGAGATATAGAAAGGCTGGCAATGATCGTCACCTGAGGAAGGGGAAGCACGGATAAAAGAAAAAAAAAGAAAAAAGAAAGAAAAATGAAAGAAAGAAGAAGAAATCCCCAGCTAGTGTGCACTATTGAAAACATTCGTGTTTAAGAGGCTCTAGCAGTCACTATGTTTATTTATAGAAGAAAAATATTTTTTCATAATAAGTCTCTAAACATTGACATTTGTATATGCCAAAAAAAAAAAAAAAAAAAAAAAAAAAATGCTGAATAAAAAGGTTTTATTTATGAATTTATTGAAAAATATATAATGGACGTAAAAAAATATTTATTACTAGTTTAAGCTGAAAAAGATTTATTTTACGCTGTTGTGTAATCTAAAATAAATGACAATTATTCTAGAATACATAATATGCTCATTATAATGAATATGAGTAAGATAATGAGATTTAATTGTCATTTATATAATACATTGCTGAAATTTTATTTATCATTAATATCCAATACACTTACCGACAACAACAACAACAATAACGACGACGACGACGACGACGACGACGACGACGACGACGACGACGACGACGACGACGACGACGACCACGACGACGATGACCACGACGACGATGACATGAACGACAAGGAGAACAAAACATGATAATAAGAATAAGATAATATTTCTCAAGTAATTTCTTATGAACACTATTAAAACGAAGTTAAATTAAACGATAAACTATACATTTTCATGGGATCATACTTTGAAAAGATTAAATAACAAAAAATAAACATTGACTTACATATAATTTAGTGGTTTATTTTTTTTTAATAATCGATTATACGATTATAGTAAATCAATTAAACTAAAAATTAGACAGCATATAACGAATTAATAATTCTTCATGATTATTCAACTTAAACGTATTAAAAATATAGCTATTTGTATAATAAAAGATTGAAATGAACGAATTCTCTAATAATCTATCTTTGTAAACTCCGTTTATTATTTATTATTTATTTATGGTATTGCTATTATCGGTTAACAAACAAATCATTAAAAAAAAATTCAATAAAACAAAGTCGCGAATTTTCTCTCAAGTATTAAAACAAGTATAAAATTTTGATGATAATTATAATAATAATAAAGTGATTATACATCTTAAAATGTATTACTTCAAATTGATTAGCATAACTCTCAAGAATAATAAATCTTTGGAATATTGTTAAATTTTAATAAATATTCTAATTTTATTGAATAGGGTAATTTTGTTACTATTTTACTTAACATTTAGAAGTATTCATATTGTTTAAGATAATTTTGTTTTTACATTTATTCAAAAAGCGATATTCTTACCGCTTAAAAAATCCCAATATTTTTTAATATTACCAGGAATTTAGCGTAAATATTTTCTCTATCAAAGTATATATAAATGAATTACTTCAACCATTTAAATAAAAGTGTTTATTAAATTTCAGGTATAATTGACAGATTCAGTGAGCACAGTTGACATGCGATATAATAAATTAAAAAATTATTCGAGTAAAACATTTGATATCCGTTAATAAGCAAAGCTAGTCGTTGCGGTTTTAACACGAATGAAGTATATTGATACTTTTAAATTAATTAAATTGCGATTTCTTTCAAAACATGAACACCGTTGATTTTGCGATACATTTTTATTTGGCCTTTCCATTTTTACAAACCCATATATTTACAGGCTTCAACCATTTGACCATCCACAACTATAGACCCAAAGTTGCCAAAGTTTTTCAATTATCTATCTCATTATACCACGACTAATTTAAAACGAAAGAACCTCTTTTAACGTCTTAGTACTCACATAGTAAGCATTTGTATAAAAGTGAAAGAGAGGGAGAGAGAGAGAGAGAGAGAGAGAGAGAGAGAGAGAGAGAGAGAGAGAGAGAGTCTTCCGTCGCCTATTAGCAATAATCATTCACAGAGCTGGCGAAAAGCAGGCGAAAATCAAATCGACCTTTGACACTCCAGTGCCGGACGTAAGCTCCAGCTTGCAAAGGGCAGTGAAAAGCGAAACCCCCATAACTCGCTTAGCGGATGAACGCTTCGCCAAGTGTTCGCCTCGCCGGTGGACCACCCGGCATCTGGGGTCCCTCCCCCCCCCTCCCGTAACGTGCGTACGAATAATTAAAGCCGACGCGGGGCCCTGCCGAGAAGAGGCTGCCCTCTCGTCTCAAGACCCGCCGGATTATCCGCGCTCGATGAAGTAATCCAAGCAACGGGGACGACTCCCCCTCCCCTCTCCTTCACCCTCCCACTCACCCACCCGCAGCGCCACGTATGCACGCGTGCACACCCCCTCCCGGCTGTCGAACGTCGTCCATCGGCTCTTTACAATTAGGTACTTTTACTCTGCCCTCGGTGCATCCGAGGCTAGCGAGATAGTGGCCACGGTGGTGGTGGCGCTGTATCGTTCGCGAGCGACAATCGGGAAGGGAGAGGGGCAACAGTACGCAAACCTGCTGTTGCGGCCGTACGTGCGCGGGGCCGCGCTACATGAATTACATCGGCGTGCGCCGCGTGTTTGTTTATATGGGGTACGCGCGCGCCCGACAGGACAAAAAAGAGGAAACGGCCGCCTCCTTCTCTTCCCCTTTGTTAATTTCGCTTTATCGCTTCGGCCGAGGAACTTTATGTGGGAGAGTCAGCGAACCAGCTACAGAGAGAGAGAGAGAGAGAGAGAGAGCGAGAGAGAGAGGTGGGGGGGGGGGATTTGCTGTGCGTTGAAATTGAATATCGCGCCTGTTCCTTTACATGATGGGTCTCGGGCATCTAACTAACTGACTTATGTCGGAGGGCTGTCTATCTCGGATCAATCATTACGCTATTATTGCATCGCAATTCGAGATTATCGATTTTCAGATGCATTGACAATCTTTGATGATCTACTCTGGTAAATTAGATATATTTTATTGTTTATCAAAATTAAGATATATCAGCTTCTAATATAAGCTTTGTTAGTCCATGTTTGTCAGTCGAATAATCGACTTATTGTGTAATTTTCCGTAAATATATGATTGAATAATAACTGATGAAAATTTATTTAAACTTTTGCGTTGAAAGTTTAATCGACCCATTCGCTGGTTTAATAATCATGGACTAATGAAAACGGACTAAAAATCGCACGTAATCAAATAGAAGGTCTGTTTAAATCGAATAATCATAATATAAAATCGAATTATTTCCCAGAAAATTTTCCTTTTTTCATTGAAACTTAATCTTCACAAATGTTTGAGAATTTTTCAAATCCAAGAAATGTTATCTATATGATATTAATATAAAAATATTCCACTTTTAGATAAGAATAATAGTGGTCTACTTTTGCGGGCACATTTGGTCATTATCGGATAAAATAAATTGAATAACAATAATATTAACAAGGAATTAAATTTTAATCTCATGATATTTGATATACAACTATTATCCTAGAATATCTGTAGTTATTTATTTATCTTCCGACTAAATATGGAAAAAGAAAAAGAGCGTACGTTTAATTATCTGTCACCCACACCACAAGGTATTTTAAAACAAAAATTTTTTCTATTTATAATGAAACTGGTTTGCATTTACATATGGCACCATATTATAATACAATCTCGCATAATATCAATTGGTTAATTATCACATGTTTAAGAATATAAAAAAGAGCGGTCCTTTTATCTAGTAAATATGATTTATTAGTTAGCCTTTGATGTAATCGTTTCTGTTATTATGCCTACAGTGCTAATTTTTAGTGATTAAAAAATGTAAATTTATTGTGTTTACTTCAGAATTTATTAAAGTACTTTCGGCTATGCGTTGTAATTATTAAAAAAAAAAATTTACTCCTTGTCATTCGGTGTTACATTTTAGATTGTATGCTAACCGAACAAGAATTTCAGAAAATATTTAATAGATATTTGAGCGTAAATTAAAAATGACTCGAAAAATAAACTTAAAAGAATACTTACTTTTATTATATAAAAAAACTTCAATCTTCTTTTGCCAAATTTAATCGCACTATGTGTATCCTTTTCTTTTCTTCTTAGCTTTCGTCTTCGAGAAACTAAGAATTGCGTATAACAAGAAGTAATCGAATGGTGACACGAATGCGCATTCTTATTATACATTGAATAAACTTGTATGGTGTCAATAACACGTAATCGTAGTTTCATGTAACCTTTTTTTATTAACATAAATGTTAAATGACTTCTAATCATATCCCTGCATTAATTGCATATTTGAAATGTACTAATTGACTAAAGGTAAATTTGAAGTATTTGAACTATTAGAAATATCATACCGATAATATAACTATATAATTAAAAAAATATTCTTTAATTTTTCTACCTTAATTATCTTTTATTTTTTTTATTCTAATATAAATCTTTATCTTTTTTTTTCTAATATAAATTTAATCTACTACGATAAGAATTCAATAAGAATCCCTTTATAATTATTTAACTACCAACATTGTAATATTACAGTACGAATTACAGTACTTAAAGATGTTTTTAACTTTTCTCGACAAATTTACTCACAAAGGTGTGTTCGGATAAAAAATTTAACATTTATGATAATTATGTAAATTACATGTAATAGACATCATTTAATTGCGACGCCGTTCAAAGTATCGAAATGAAAAATGAAAAATTTAAAAACGTATTTATCTGACTTATTATCTGACGTGACCTGCATACTACGTGTAAAAGTAGAAAATGTGTCATAATATATCATATCTTTTCTGCACATAATTATAAATGTTAAATAATTATCAATTTTTTCTTGACACACAGAGAATAGAAATTACCAACAGGTTTCTTTTAATTGAATATTACACAGGCATTTAAATAGAATAAAAATAAATTTACGATGATCATAAAAGTATCGAGTGCTTTATAATTACATCTGTATAAATAGGAAGAGGTAAAAGAAATTTTTTAATTAAGTCATAATTGTCTTGGTTTTCTCGAAAATCAGTCGACTCCACGTATTAATCAAATTTGATACACTCTAGATGTGACTGACAATACCTGACCTTTGATAATGTTTATTACAAAAGCTTATATTGGTATGCATATGCCGTAGCGCGTATCTGCTCATGTATATTCGAGAGGCGCCTCGTGAATTTTTCGTCTCTATCTCTCGCTTAAACTCATCTGTTTTTGTATTTCTCTTTCGTTCTTCCTCTCTCTCTCTCTCTCTCTCTCTCTCTTCTACATATGTGTATATATGCACATTTACATGTGCATAAGTGCAATAGAAAAGTAGAAAAAGTTATTACAAAGAGTTGTGTTAGGAAGTAAGAGAGCGAGAAGAGTTGGAGCATGGGAGGTTGAGATGTAGAGAGAGAGAGAGAGAGAGAGAGAGAGAGAGAGAGAGAGAGCACGATAAAGAGAACGGGGAGAGGGAGAGAGACAAGCGCGCGTCGACGGGAGAGCATAACTACCACTTACCGGAGGGAAGAGAGCGAGAGAGGGCGAGAGTATAGAGAGGGAGGCAATGACTATACATATACATATACGCGCGCGCTTGCAGCATAGTATAATGTATAAACATATAAGTGTGCATGTGTGTTCGTACGTATGTGCGTTTGATGTATACATTCATGTGTGGGTACGTATACGTGTGTGATGCGTACATGTATTTATATAAATACATACATACATATATATATATATATATATATATATATATATATATATATAGTAATATATACAGTCGCGGCCGATGCGTTCGAGCAAACAGTCGACACGCGGCACTCGCAGAAGCCGGTCGGAAGGCGAGAGTGCGAGAGAGAGTGCGCGCGCGCTATCCTGACGTGTCCCCGTAAATGTAGTGCCGCGAAATCCCTCAACGACCGGCAGTTTCCTCGGGCGCGAGCGCCACGTGCGAGTGAGTACGATGAGTCGCGGGGACGAATTAGTGGAGCCAGGAAGCCGGCGCGAGTGTCGGCCAGTTTAACTCCCGAGCGGTGACTGAGAAGTACGCGAGGTCCAAACCGAGGAGGAAGAGAGACTGAGGACCCAACCTGGGCCAACTCCGTGGGCGAGTCGTCTGGTTTGGCTATGGGCTGCACGGAGCCGCGCAGCTCAAGGTGTCAGCGAGACTATCCTGAGAGCCCAGCGGCCCCCGTCCTACTGGCACTCGTCCTCCTTATCGTCGTCCTCGTGCTCGCCTTGAGCGCGGAGGCTGCGCTCGAGCAGTCGCTCGACGATCCTAACGCCATCGACATACGCTCGAGCATCGTTGAGGCACTTGGACTACAAAGAATACCCGATCCAGCTAAAGTAAGCATCTTGCATGACCCGCTACTCATCAGCTGATCGGATCGCGTTCTTACGATCCTACGCTCGCTCGACTTCTTTGCGACTGGTTGCAATTTTGCCAATTACGAATATGGAAATGACTTGAGATAAATTCATAACACATATTAGCCAGTCAACGCGTCTAGTTGTGTGCGTTGAGATGCGACTGTACTTTGCGTGTTTTCCAGCTAGTGGAAGTTCACGATAGTCAATGTCGTTGACGTGTAGGAGAGCGCTTGCCATATGCGAGTGCAGTCAAAATATTATATCTGACATATACTAAGCTTTCATGCCATACGTTCGAACGTTAAGAAAGCTTATTATAAAAACTGCAATTGTTAATTGTTTGAAATTGATTTTTAAGGCATAATTGAAATGATGTTTGATTGGGTGCAACGATAGCTCGTGTGGATATTCCAAATTTGACTGTCGTATTGAAAGCAAATAGAAAAGAAAAATTCTAATATCGAGTGTGTGTTTGTGTGTGTTCGCGCGCGCGCGCGTGGATATGTGTAGATGATTCGGAAAAATTCGGCAATGTGAGCTTTAGTTTATCTTGTCATCGTCGGACCATCGAACACAAAATTTTAAAGCGAAAAATTACCGTCGCGCATTAACGCCTCTAACACTCGAAACATTTTAACTTAATCGTTAGCAAGTTTACCAAATTATTAAAAGTTACTTAAGGCAAAAGAAGGCCATGATTATGATTAACCATTTTTGTCCTGATATTAGTAATAAAAAAGGTTTCACATTTAAGGGGAATGCGATCAAGGGGCGTTCACCAAGTTCAAAGATTCATCGTTAAAATATGTAATCAGCTATAGGATTTCTCATAGCCTATTTATTTCCTTGGCAGTGTAATATCATAAATTTTGATAAATAATTTTTAAATTGATTTAATTAATAACGCTAGTTAGATGCTGCAATCGTATGCAATTTCGTATTGGAAAATTATAAATGTATGTTGAATAATAAATTGATATTCCAGTGTTGGACTCGTTCGCGAAGATGAACATTTTCGACGAAATATTGTACACGTCGATAGACAAGTGAATATTGTATACAAATTTAACCGTTAAATATAAATAATTGCCGCATGGATGGTAATAATTATAAAAATATTAATTTCTCAAACACTAGTACTTATATTAATATCCTCGATTAATGTTGAAATCAGAATACGTCTTATTTGCCATGCAAAAAGTAGTTAGATAAAATTTAGTTGGCCATTTGAGAATAATTAATAACAGTGCGTATAAATTATTTTACGCCCCAAAATTAATTGCATTCGTAATATCAATATACTTTTTAAATTTGTAAAATTTCAAATGAAATGCAATTGCACAATCTCGACATTAAACTTTCAATACAACCAATAATGTACAATCAATTCGGCACGATTAATACAACTATATTGTTTGCAATTTCTACAATGTATGCTTTATTTTTGGAGATAAAAAAAAATGTTTTCGAATTTCGCGGTGTTTTTTATACATAATAAAACAAGAATATCTTAACAAAATAGCTGCACGTAATATTGCTATTAATGGCAAACATATACTTTGTGATTAAATACGCCATTTCATCACTTATTAGGATATTTATAATAAATTAGCCGTTAGGCTGTAAATGATACTTGCCTATTAAAAATTTATTTTACATCTTTATTAATTTTTAAACATATAAGGCACAACATTATCACGCTATTCATTATATTTTCTCTATAATTAAGTAGGACAGATACCTAATACGTATCCCACCGATACTATTATTTTAGAAATGAAAAACAATTGCAAATCCAAACATATATCATTTTTTAATTATAATCGATATAAATTCCATTCTAATTTATCTATTATTATGGACTCCGAATGTCCGAACCCAATAACTCATTTGAAATACAAATATTGTTAGGGTCTGAAAGCGTTAAAATGCCGTTGAATATTTTACGAATAAGCTACAACCTACATTATACATCGGACAGACACACTTTCGTTTATTTTACGACTATTCTACGGTATTCTTATTTCAACTATCGCCTCTCCAGCCCTTCGCCATCTCATTTTTTCCGGCCTCGAAAGTCGAAAAGGGGGATTGAAGAATATTGAAAATGCAAAACATATAGAACACAAAATCATCATGCACAACGCCCACGCTTATAAATCAAAAATGGTCGAACTTGATTCAATCTCTGTCTATTTGTCGCTCCCGCCTCTCGCCATTTCTCTCTTATTCCCACTCTTTATATCTTCTCTCGATTTTCGCTCGCTCTCTATAAATCTTCTTTCAACTTACCCTGTATCTAGTACTAGAAAGTAGTGGGGATGATGACTTAACCGCTAGATTAGCATAGAATCAACCAATGCTGGGTAATCATTTTTATCCCGACTCTACAGTAATAATTTCCGATAATACTATGTCTACACGAGCAAAATAAAGCATCGATCTTTACAATATTAAATAATGAAATTTGCTTGCAAAGTTTCATAATACTTTCGAAATAAGAATACGTAATAGCTATTACAAGTATTCAATAATTTTTTTTTAGATAATGGATAATTTAATTATAACATAAATCTTGCAAATGTATGCATACGTCAATTTGATTTCGACAATTTCAGGTATATTTTATTAATCAAATGGCATTACAATTACAGTATATAGAAAAAACATATTATAATAGCAACTGTTATTATTATTTTTTTAAATTCATAATAAGATCTCTGGGATTGAGCAAAATATGGCGGATGTTCAGTTAATTTTACGAAATTACCGTAAAATTTCATCCGTACGTTCACCTTATAAAGGATGTTGTATTTCTAGGGCTAATCATTACAATTAGTTTTCATATTCATTTAGTTAAAATTTTAATTAAAATAACGCATTCTTTCAATTAGCTTTTGTTAAACAAACATTTTCAACCTTGCAACAAAACAATAAAATATCATTATAATTATGAGCCATATATTATAAATTTTTTATTAAATTATTTCAGAATTTCATATTGCCTATAATTACGCTTATTATTTATTATTCACACACGCGCTCGCACACACGCATACACGCATACACGCATACACGCATGTACACCCACGTACGCGCGCGTGTGTGTGTGTATAATTTTTTCCTAATTAATTTAGAATATTTTTTTTACTATAAACTTTATATTCAATTTGAATATTCAATCTTATATAAAATTTCTTCATTTATTTCATTTAAATGAAATATTTTAACCTTATCAAAGATATTATAATCTTAATATATATAGAAAAAATGTACCAACTAACTGTAAAATTCATTCATTCCAAAAAAAGAAAAAAAAAATCGTGAAGAACAATAATAGACTTTAAATTATAGATATATATTTTGCGTTTATATTACAAGTTTATTTTACCATAATTGAAATAAAAAAGATGTTAAAACTGTATTTGCATAATATATAAATCGAATAATAATTATTTATCTCACGATTAAATAATTCAACTAAAGGAAATGTCTTTTTATATTTCACATAAATATATAGAAGATGTGTTTTGATAATATACATATCAAATACGAAATACGCTGAGACCTAAAGTAGAAAATGTTAAAATGGTATTGATAAAAATATGTATCTATTTATAGCAAATTTTTGAATTTATATCTCAATATATTGTCTCGTATTACTAGTTTCTATTAAGATATGATAAACTTATATAGCTCATGTACAAAAATTTTTTTAATAAGTATGTCTTATGTGCTAAGATGATGGGTGATTCGGACATTAAGTATTTAAATCGAAATATAGCTATTTGAAAATTACATAAATCTGTCGAGTAAAATTTAAACTATTCATTTACACTAAATAAATCTAAAAAGCTATCGTGTTTTATTAATGAATAACACGTGTCATCGTGCGACAAAAGCAAATAACTCCTGAAAGTAGCAGAAAATACAAAAATAATAAATCTGTCGCGATGATTATACACACACAAGACTTACTAATCATCTGTCAGTAGATGCAATCCACGCAAACGTTCCATTCAATTTAAGAAGCGGTTATCAATTTATTATCACGAACTAGTAGTTTGTACATCCCAACGAATAATAAATCACCGTCTTATACAAATGAAATCTTCAGTAGATTCGACTGATTTATTGCTCAAGAAAAAAGAGCAGATAAGCACATTCAGCGACACTTCAGTCGCTCCAAAGGTCACAAGCTCTTTCTCCACCAATAAACGAGACGAGGAAGTGGATGTATGCGCCTTATTTCGTGAATTCCACTTTAACAAGCGATGAAAAAAAGCGAAAAGCTCTGCGAACTCATACGTGCTTGCAATTAAAGCCTCGTTACGTGAGAAATGCAGGCCGATATTCCAAGAATTGGTAGCGCTGCACGCGACATTTTTGCTTCGCGGATTATTTTCGGCCCTGCGATGAAGACTCGCCGTCGATGCCCCGCACGAGGTTCATTGGCATCCTCGGCAACGAGGAAGGGTTTCACCGACGCGGATCGACTGGTCTGGCCGTTCATCTCGATAACGGAAAGGCACGAAGCTGTTCACGCACGCACCTATAAGGCCTTCCGCGGAATTACCGGAAAGAAAAAAACTACGAGACTACGTGTGTTTCTGTATCTCGTGCTCCCGCACCCGCATAGCGAACTTTGTAATCCAATGTGTTTTTCCCTAAGTAATTAAGCCCCGGTATGACTAATCCAGGCTGACGGATGCAATTATCGTGAATACTGAAAAGTGTGTAATCTTGCTGGGTATCGGGCAACTCATGGATATTGACACGAATTCGTGCAGAACTTCAATTTTATACCACTTTCGTGGGGTTCATTTCGTTTTATTCGAATTCTTTGCTGCGTACAATGATGAAATATTATTATTGTCGATGTCACTGCAATCTTAAGGATATCATCATATTTAATGACTTCATTGCTGATTCGGAATAATAATAATAATAATAATAATAATAACAATAATAATAAT